TCATAGTTTTAATGTTTTCATGTTCTTCTTGGATTTTCATTCTCTTGGTATGTTGTGAAGTGTTAATTTTCTTTAAGGTTGCTTCATAGTTATGGATTTAATTCTGAAGAAAAAATAGAGTATGGCATTTTTTAATTTGTCTGTCTACAGATTGGGAGGAATCACCATGACAGTTGACTTGTTGCTCTCTCTATATTTAAACTTCTGCCCCATTTCTGACTTTGGAGATGTGTCACATATTTTCTCAGGCAAATGAAATGCCTTTGGAATCAGTCACTAGGCTGTTGTTGTCTACAAGTGGCTGTGGTCAGCTATGCCATTTTGGGCTCTTTAAAGACTGAAGCCTTTCCTTCACAGCAAAGACTTTTCATTTCCAGTCTGTGACACACATTGCCTCAGGAACTCAACATGAAAACTGCCTTTCTACCTCCGCCATTGTCCCATCTGTCTTTGGGCTCAGACCTAGACACTGGGACATTACCTAATGTCCACCTCCAGCTTTCTCTTAAGCTCCACTGCTGCCTCAGTCTCTGCAAGCACACCTACCTCCTCCTGCATCAGTAGACTCAGGCCCCTGAATTTCTCAGAAAAGTCTCAGTTGTCCCCCCTTTTAAAAATTTAAAATGCCAGGATTATTTGGTGACATGAGAATGATATGATTTTTGGAATGGGGCACCATGTAAAATGATGGTTTGTGGTCATTAGGGAAAGGAGAATGGTTTCACTCAGGTGTATCACCAAGATTGTAAGAAGACACATTTTAAGAAGTTCATAGAATGCTTCTAAAAAATATCGGAGGAAGCAAGGAAGTCAGTAAATGAGAAGACACCCAAGAGGTAATTTAATCTAGTCGTCTAATGAATATTCACCCTCCAGATTGCTCACTTCACCCTGCCTTGTTCTCTGCTGTAGGTATGGGGCTGTGTGGACAGCAAGAGCAGCCTCCCTTACAGGAGAAGGAAAAGAAGGTAGTGAGTGAGACAGGGTTGATTCCCCTTGCTCTCTGTCTCTCATATATCTCTCTCTGGTCTCTCCCTTTGAAGTTACTACCCCTTTCAAGTTTATGGCTTGTTATTCTCTTCCCAGGTCTGCTAACTTACTCTTATCATTCCTTCTAGTCTCAGAGTGGCACCATTTCCACTGCTGCTACACACACAGGTTCATAATTGTTGTTATTGAGTGACATTAAGTCGGTTCTGACTCATAGTGACCCTGTGTAAGGTTTCCCTGGAGTGACTGGGGAGCTTGAACCGCTGGCCTTGCAATTCAAACCAACTTTGCAGTCCAGTGCATTAACCTGCAGCACCACACCAGGACTCCTGCAGGTTCACAGTTAGTACCTCTGCAAATAAACCTTCCCAGAAATATTCCATTTCCTGTTGGGACCTAGGCTGACATGCTTTTGTTGTGTCACAGAGTTGGTTCTGACTCATAGCGACTCTGTATAGGGTTTCTGAGGCTTTAAATCTTCACAGGAGCAAAAAAAGCCTTAGCAGTCTCCCTCAGAGAAACTGGCTGGTTCAAACTGTGGACCTGTGGTTCCCATTTCAGCACTTATGTGGAGCCACTGTGCTCCTAGCCTGACATAGGAACTATCTGAAAACCTCAGATTTGAAAAGGAAATTTAAAGTACGAAGGGAACATAACAAAAACATTCTATGAGAAATTTGGGGAAAAACCTAGATAAAATATCAAAAGGAGGAATCTTTCATTAATCTGGAAAGTTGTTTTTTTCCTCTTTGAGTAAGGAGTAATGGTTAGGAGCATGGCTAGGTCTAGGACTTTGTTTTATGTTAGTGTATGGTTAGGACTAGGGTTGTTGTTATTGTTAAGCGTCATTGAGTTGCTTCTGACTCATAGTGACCCTGTATAGAATTTTTGAGGAGCGGCTGCTGAGCTTGAACTGCCAACCTTGCACTCCAAACCGACCTTGCAGTCCATGGCATTAAACTACAGTGCCACACCAGAACTCCTTAACTAAGGTTAGTGTTAGGGTTAAGGTGAGGGGGAATGTTTGGACTAGGGCTAGGAATGTTGTTGTTGTTGTTAAGTGCTGTCAAGTTGGTCCCGACCCATAGTGACCCTGTACAGAGTTACCAGGAGCAGCTGGTGGGCTTGAACTGCCAACCTACAGTTCAAACCGACTTTGCTGTCCAGCACATTAACCCATAGCACCACATCAGAACAGTCTAATTTTAGGGTCACAGTGTTTATATATTTATTTATTTTCTTGAAATTCACTGTGTTTCCTCTTCATTTGGAAGTTCTGTTATACATTATTCCCTCTTTTTATTTTGTGTTTTGGGTTTTGTTGTTGCAAACTGATATATCTGATTTCCTATTTTCAGTCTTGTAGGTTTGTTTTATTTTGAATATTTTTATATCTGTGTTGAATTCTGGGTGATATTGTCAGCCTGTTAATCTCAGCATATTGTCTGCTGTTGTTGGTTCTCTGTCCACAGAATTTCCTTTAGTATTTTTTGTAAGGTTAGCCTAGATTTTATAAATCTTTTAATTTCAATTTTTTGTAAATATCCTGATTTCACCATCTTACTTGATGGACAGTTTTTTTGTTTTTGTTTTTTTTCCTGAGTAGCTGATTCTTGGTTGAACTTTTTGTTTCTTCTTTCAAAATTTTGCAGGTACCTAAGGAGCTCTAGTAGCGTAGAGGTTACGATTCGGGCTGCGAACCGCAAGGTCAGCAGTTTGAAACTACCAGCTGTTCCGCGGGAGAAAGATAAGGCTTTCTGCTCCCGTAAAGATTTACAGCCTCAGAAACCCTGTACAGGGTCTCTATGAGTCGGAACTGACTCCACGGTGGTTAACAATAACAACAAATCCCATCATTGTCTTTTTTTTTTTGCAGAGCTTTTATGGTTTTATTTAGCACAAATAAAACTTGAAAACAGGCTGTCTATTCATTTTCTTCGCTGCGTAGCCTGGCGTTAGGATTGGTGACTCTGATGGCCAGCTGGGCTGCTCTTTCCACGATAGCTTTACAGTTCTTGGAGGAGACGTTGTGAGCAATCTCTGCACAGTAAGATTTGTTGCACATCAGCAGCACCTCCAGCTCTTTGACGTTGTGGACCAGGAACTTGCAGAAGCCGCTGGGCAGCATGTGTTTAGTCTTCTTGTTGCTCCTATAACCAATGTTGGGCATTAAGATCTGGCTCTTAAATCTTCTCCGCACCCTGTTGTCAATGCCTCTGGGCTTGCGCAGTTATGCTTAATTTTGACATAATAATCTGGATGAATTTCTTGGTCCTCTTTTTGACAATCTTGGGCTTCACCAGGGGTCTGAGAGCAGCCATGATGCCGGTTGAAATGACCGCCTCCTCCGTAGACAGTGCAGAAGAAAGAGGGGAAGGCCATCATTGTCTTTTTGCTTGCATGGTTTCTGCTGGGAAATCAGAGCTTATTCTTATAGTTTTCTTAATAGTTTTCGCAAGTTGCTCTCAGGATTGTTTTCTTTCTTTGGCTTTGAAGAGTTTAATTATAATATGTCTTAATGATTTTCTTTTGGGGTCTATCCTGTTTGAAGGTTATTCATCTTCGTGACTGCTTATCTTCTCATCAATTTTTTTAAACAAACTCTTCAACAGTTTTCTCTTTTTATTATTGTTGTTGTGTCTTTCTCTTCTGGGATTCCAGTCATAAGTATGTTATTCCTCTTGATAGTGTCCCACACAGTTCTTAGGCTTTTTTGGATATTTTTCTTATTTATTTATTTTTTTCTTCTAGAAGGTGAATACTGAGGGCCTTGTCTTCAAGCTCACTAATCAGCCTTCCATTCAATTCTACTTCTTTGCCTTTTCAATGTATTATCTATTTTGGAACTCTTAGTATCTACTAATTTTCTATTTGCTGTTTTTATAGTTTCCAATTTTCCATTGGTTTTGTCAGTTTGTTCTTGTAGTGCTTTCTTGAATTGTCTGTGTTTTCCTTGATTTCCTCTGCAGTTTTCTAGACCATTCTCTTGATTCATTAAAGGTACAAATATGTCATTCTTTAAAATTCCTTGTCAGCTAGTTCTAATGCCTTTTCTGGTATTATATTTTTCTAACTGTGTTTTATCACTTGTTTAAGACATTCCATAATGTTTCTTCATGTAAGGCGAAATTGTCTATTTTCTCTAAGACATTGTGATGTCACTATATTTGTATTTTATTGATGATTATACGTGGGTATCTTCTCAGGCACTCACCTGTCTCCTCATGGATATGGTAGAGACCGAAAGTGTTTGCACATTGCTTTGTTCACTGTTTGTATATCATAGTTCAGGGTGAATTTGTCTGATGTTTACTGATAATTATCCTTGATCAGGTAGTACGTGAATGAGTAGTTGCTTGCCCACTGTGTGGAGCCACAGGAGGTACAGAAGTGATTGGACCATAGGGGTACAATTACTGACTCCAATAAAAACCCCCAACAGCAATAAAAGATCTAATGAGGTGAACCAGATAAGCATCCAGTATGTGGAGGTGGTGTGTCCAGCCCCTGACTCCAGGCAGAGCAGATGTAGTAGGTGAAGGGGTGCCTTTGGCTGCTTGATAGACTAGGGTTTGGATTGATCATGCCCCTGGCTACCAGGAATGCATAAGGTTCATTGAAGAACTATACCTCCTTTGTTGCCAATCTCCAGAGAGCATCCTTTGTCCCTGGCCATTGTTATCAATAGCTTCCTGCAACAGCTGCAAAGGCTACTTTGAGATACACCAGCCAACAGCCCACCCATAGTCTCTTGTCTTGCTGTTCCTGCTTAGCTTCTGCTTCCAGCCAGAACTTAATATTCTCTCTCTGTCCTATCATCTTAAACACAGAGTTCCAGGGTCCATTTCTCTTTCACTTGGTCTCCCATATCCTTGTTGAACAGGGTCTGCTCAGTGTGTCTGCCTATTCTCTGTCTTGCCCCAGAGTTCTCTGTAAAGATTAAAAATAATTTTTGTTTTGTTTTGTTTCCATCAAAGAAATGAGAACCATTATTTGAGAAAAATAGTGAAACTCTGAGAACATATTCAAATCAATCCCAGGAAGTAGGTTTCTATAAAGCTAGAACAGTTGAAGGATTGTACTGAGAGAAAGAGCACAACTGGGGTGTGGTAATGTCTAATCTCTGAGTGGGAAGGCTCATCATCTACACCATGAACGGGTAGTTCATATAATAAATGCGCTTGCTAACTAAAAGCTTGGAGATTTGAGTCTACCCAAAGAAAACTCAAAAGACAAGGCTGGAGAAATGCTTCAAAAAAGTCATTGAAAACTTATGGAGTTCAGTTCTACTCTGACACACATGGTTTCCTCCTGAGTCAGAATTGACTCAACCACAACTGATTTTTACTTCTAGACTCTCAGAATAGTGTAGAGGTTTTCTGGGTGGATGAAGGGTGACTTGCTGCCATAATGTGTGAAAACACTACTCCAGACTGTTATCCCTCCTGTTGACCCACACTCTCATTTTCTAGGTGCCTCTTCTCTTCTGTGACCACCATGGTTTTCTTCATTCAGTTGGGTGGGATGGAAGAGTGCTGGTGGAATTTGGGGATATATCAATCAGTAAAGGACCATGTGAGGGAATACAATTGCTAAGAACTCACTGCTGAACTTCCCTGGGAAGGGAGCTGGCTAATTGTTTTGGATTAAGCAGCTGATTAAGCAGCGTGGCACTGTTCTTTGGATTGTTAAATGAATCTGTTTAATTGGACTGAGTTGCCTTTGGCTGCCAAACCACTCTATCCAGCAGTAACATTCCATGAGATAACTGCATCTTGAGTTAGTAGGGACTAAGGAAGGTGGCATGCAAGAAATGATCAAGAACTGTGTATTGACCTGAATGCTGTTTTACTTCAGAATCAATTTACTGATAGAGATATTAGATAATCTTCTCCCTCCTCATTTCTGGGGAAGCCGAAAATCTGTTTCTCCTAAGCTTAGAAAGCCTCACATAAGAAGATGGTTTCTTTTTCATTGGTAATTTATGTAGAGGCTGTGTCTCAATGTTATTCTTATTACTATATACCATTTGTTGCTTTGAGGAAAGATAACTTGTCTGCAGGGGATTTGGCTAGGCAGAATATTATTATGGCTCATTTGTTTTCCTTGGGAGAGAACCGTGGGCTGTGCTTAGTGTTCTGGTGGATGAACTTGGTGTTAAATTTCCACCATTTAACCACAAACAATTTGATTTCTAACTCTGTTTATCCTAAGGAAAACTCCCCCACTAGCCTTCCCACTTATAAAGTAATTGTTTGGGGAGACAGAGACTGAGAAGCCTGTGCTGTGGCTGTTGGGTAGGGTGCAGTGCAGCAGTGTTGACACATGACCAAGATCTAGGATTCTGAGGGGGATATTTTGCTTGTTCAGATGATGCCTTGAGACCAATATTGACCTCCTGATTGTCCACCTAAGAGCAAGGAGTCAAATCATGATCAAGAAGGATTAGTTGCATAGTGTTTCTAGCCATACCCACCCTAAATTAGAGAATTACTATTTTTATTTTTAATGTATAGACCTGGTAGAATAAGAAAAGCATAATAGGTGCTATTAGCACCCTGTTGAATTGTTGTTGTTTGTTTTTGGTAACTTTTTCCCAATAACTAGGCTACTCACAAGTCCACTTATACTAGTGTTTACAGCACTCAATGCAATTGGCTGTAGAAGTATGAGCTGTGCAATTTATAGGTAAGTTTCTTTCAGAAGATAGCATTCGATAGCAGACAACTCTGGAGGGGTGTTGACAAGAGGCGTCTGAGATGAGAAAGTTGAGGAAATGGCAACAACAACAAAACATGTCCTATAAGGAACAGTGTTTACTTTAGAGAAGAGAAAACTGAAAGGTACTGGACTGTGACCCACAAGATTGGCAATGTGAAGCCACCAGTGTCATTGAATTATACACATAAAGTGGTTAATATGAGAAATGATTTGTTGTTATATTTTATTATGCCTCCCCCCAAAAACCCCAAATCCCACCCCCAAACAGAAAGAACTGATGGAAGAGGAAGAAAGAAGAGGGAAAAAGAGTAAACCACAACAATTTAATGAACTTGAACTATACCTATGGATGTAGTAGCTCAAAAGAGGGAATGGACCTTTACAGTGAGGATTATTTTCACACCCTCAGGGTTGAAACACAGGGTTGACAGGGTGGACAACTTAGACATTGGCTACCCAAAATGGGGTGGGAGGACTACAAAGGCAAGACAAGACTGACTTACAAGCTTTCAAGACGGAGCCTGGTTTCAGAGGGTGTGAGGAAAGGTAGACTCTCCACTGAGTGGTTTCTAACCTTTCTGGACAGGGCTGGTGAAAGGAGATGAGATAAGACTTTCATGGTTCAATAATGAATAATTGCTATCAGGACTGATTGTGAGTGCTGCAAATGTAAAGGTAGATATTTTGTAACAAAAGGAGGAGAGTGGTTGATCTTGCAGTTCAGAAGCAGAGGACCCAGGGACTTACGATCAAGGGAGAAGAGCGGAGTGTGGGACCCTACCCAGAGAAGCAGTGACACCAGAGATGGAGGCAGAGATGATGACATGGAGAGATGGAGTGGCCTTTCTCTTTCCATGAGTCTAGAGGCCTCGGCTGCTCTATCTCTCCATGTCCT